TGAGCCCCGTGTTCTCCTCCTCCTCCTCCGCGTCATCTGGTGAATGCCGAGCTCCAGTGGCACCAGCCATAGTTGAGCAACATCCTCCCCCATTTTCCACCGCCTCTTCCTAGCTGTGGAGCGGCGTTCACAACAAGTTTTGTGAATAATGATTCGTAGCGGAAGGTTGCTCGCAAGGTTTGTTGTGGAGTTGCGTTCGCAATTAGATTGGAGGGTAACGCCTCGAAGTGGAGAGGAGGGGGCTGAGTGATCAGGAGCCGTAGCAGCAGGAGGAGTAGGAGGAGGAAGAAGAGGAGGGTGAGGAGCATGACGAAGGTGAGGAGCAACACCTTACTCACAAAACTAGGTGTGGAGCGGCGTCCACAGCTAGTTTTGCGAGTAACGCTTCGTAGCAGGAGGCTGCTCACAAAACTGGTTGTGGAGCTGCGTTCACAACTAGATTTGCGAGTGACGCCACGAAGCGGAGAGGTGGGGGTAGAGTGAAGAAACGAAGGGGGAGGAAGGGGGGAGGAGCAGGAGGAGTATGAGGAGGAAGAAAGAAGAGGAGGGTGAGGAGCATGACGAAGGTGAGGAGCAACACCTTACTCACAAAACTAGGTGTGGAGCGGCGTTCACATTTAGTTTTGCGAGTAATGTCTCTTATCAAGAGGCTGCTCGCAAAACTGGTTGCGGAGCTGCGTTCGCAACTAGATTTGTGAGTGACGCCATGAAGCGGAGAGGTGGGGTTGAGTGAAGAAAAGAAGGAGGAGGAAGGATGGGGAGGAGCAGGAGGAGTAGGAGGAGGAAGAAGAGGAGGGTGAGGAGCATGACGAGGGTGAGGAGGAAGACATCACTCACAAAACTAGGTGTGGAGCGGCGTTCACAGCTAGTTTTGCGAGTAATGTTTCGTAGCAGGAGGCTGCTCGCAGAACTGATTGGGGAGCTGCGTTCACAACTAGATTTGTGAGTGGCGCCACGAAGCGGAGAGGTGGGGTAAAGTGAAGAAAAGAAGGAGGAGGGGGAAGGAGCAGCAGGAGTAGGAGGAGGAAGAAGAGGAGGGTGAAGAGCATGACGAAGGTGAGGAGCAACACCTTACTCACAAAACTAGGTGTGGAGCGGCGTTCACAGCTAGTTTTGCGAGTAATGTTTCGTAGCAGGAGGCTGCTCGCAAAACTGATTGGGGAGCTGCGTTCACAACTAGATTTGCGAGTGACGCCACGAAGCGGGGAGGTGGGGGTAAAGTGAAGAAAAGAAGGAGGAGGGGGGAGGAGCAGGAGGAGCATGAGGAGGAAGAAGAGGAGGGTGAGGAGCATGGCGAAGGTGAGGAGCAACACCTTACTCACAAAACTAGGTGTGGAGCGGCGTTCACATTTAGATTTGCGAGTAATGTTTCGTAGCAGGAGGCTGCTCACAAAACTGGTTGTGGAGCTGCGTTCATAACTAGATTTGCGAGTGACGCCACGAAGCGGAGAGGTGGGGGTAGAGTGAAGAAACGAAGGAGGAGGAAGGGGGGAGGAGCAGGAGGAGTAGGAGGAGGAAGAAGAGGAGGGTGAGGAGCATGACGAAGGTGAGGAGCAACACCTTACTCACAAAACTAGGTGTGGAGCGGCGTTCACATTTAGATTTGCGAGTAATGTCTCTTATCAGGAGGCTGCTCGCAAACCTGGTTGCGGAGCTGCGTTCGCAACTAGATTCGTGAGTGACGCCATGAAGCGGAGAGGTGGGGTTGAGTGAAGAAAAGAAGGGGGAGGAAGGATGGGGAGGAGCAGGAGGAGTAGGAGGAGGAAGAAGAGGGTGAGGAGCATGACGAGGGTGAGGAGGAAGACATCACTCACAAAACTAGGTGTGGAGCGGCGTTCACAGCTAGTTTTGCGAGTAATGTTTCGTAGCAGGAGGCTGCTCGCAGAACTGATTGGGGAGCTGCGTTCACAACTGACGGGGGGCAGCCGACGGCCAACGCTGCCCTGTTGAAGCTACACGATTTGATTATCATCCTCCTGCTCTTGAAAAAATACCGTTTACCAGATTTTCCAGATTTCCAAGATCTTCCCAGAGATGGCCCTGGTGAAAAACGCTGTGTTTTCCTGATATTCCTGACCTTCCCAGGGATTACCCCTGAGAAAACGCTGCGTTTTCCTGATATTCCTGATATTCCTGACATTTCCAGAGACTACCCAGGCGCCGAGGCCTCCTGGGGCTGCCGAAACATTGCCCTGGTGGAAAACGCTGTGTTTTCCTGATATTCCTGACCTTCCCAGGGATTACCCCTGAGAAAACGCTGTGTTTTCCTGATATTCTTGATATTCCTGACATTTCTAGAGACTACCCTGCAGGCTCACGGTAGTCTCTGGAAATGTCAGGAATATCAGGAATATCAGGAAAACACAGCGTTTTCTCAGGGGTAATCCCTGGGAAGGTCAGGAATATCAGGAAAACACAGCGTTTTTCACCAGGGCAATGTTTCGGCAGCCCCAGGAGGCCTCGGCGCCTGGGTAGTCTCTGGAAATGTCAGGAATATCAGGAATATCAGGAAAACACAGCGTTTTCTCAGGGGTAATCCCTGGGAAGGTCAGGAATATCAGGAAAACACAGCGTTTTCCACCAGGGCAATGTTTCGGCAGCCCCAGGAGGCCTCGGCGCCTGGGTAGTCTCTGGAAATGTCAGGAATATCAGGAATATCAGGAAAACACAGCGTTTTCTCAGGGGTAATCCATGGGAAGGTCAGGAATATCAGGAAAACACAGCGTTTTTCACCAGGGCAGTGTTTCGGCAGCCCCAGGAGGCTTCGGGAAGCCCCAGGAAGCGTTTCGGAAGACTCGGGAAGGCCAGGAGGCCTCAGGAAGCCCCAGGAAGCCCCAGACCCTCCCCCCCCAGGGCGCGCGAGGAAGAGGAGTAGCAAAAAAAGAAATATGTATGATCATGTGGGGGGGGGCTACCATACATATATATATATATATATATATATATATATATACATACATACATATATACATATATACATATATATACATTTTATATATATATATATATATATATATATCAGGTGTTCTGGAGGACAGTCTTGAAGCGGCATGACGTGTTAAGGTCACATCGCGAAACACTTGGGGCCAGGCGGCAGCGAGCCTCCTGGCATCATGCCCTGCCCTGGCGGCGCCGGTGGTCTTGGTGGCAGCATACCTCCCCTCAACTTCCGCAGAGCTCTCAGGAGCGGAGAGTTAGCCGATGCGTTCAAGACACCCGCCACCCCTCTCCTGACCTCAGTACATGGACAGACTGCACAGGTGCAAACGCGAATCAATCATCGCATGATTGCTTGTGAAGCGAACACACGCGGATGGGCTCCCATGGACTATTGGCACCACTGCTACGTACTGTGTCACCGCTGTCTTCACATGTCAGCTGAGCACCTCCCAGTCATGGTACAACGCTGCCCCGTGTCTCTTCTTACTCCAAACCGAAACGGATCATAGATTGAGCCTTGAATGACAATACGAGGAAACTATATGCATTGTTTTTCATTTCACCAGCGCCGCGTCGCCCTGCGTTGCAGTCAATACTCAGGCGAAATGCGGCCTGGATGAAAAATATAAGAAGCAGCGGCTGCATGGGGAGAAGAAGTCGAACCCAGGGGCGAGAGGAAAGTCCTGCGAGAGCGGTGCACCGCCAAGAAACATCCACGTTCAGGGGCGCGCGCGAACATGGACTAGCGGTCCATGAATTTGGCGCGCGATCGCCGAATCCATGGATCCGGGGAGGTGCCCTCCCCAAAATGCGGCCGGCACCGCCTCGTTCGGCGGCGGAGATCCGCGATTTCCCATGGAAACGGGACCCGTCGCTAATCCACGCTCCCTTGATCCATGTTTGCGTTTGCCTGACACGTGCTCAATTCCTGGGGGATCCCAAAACCGTTTGATGACAGACCGTGCGGTGACCTCGGAACCCCAAGAGACATCACCGTACGGTCCGTCAACGCACGGTCTTGGGATCCTGGAGGCCCCTGTCGCCCGAGACGTCCTCGGAGAACGACCCGAGTCCCAAAACCGTGCGGTGACACCGAATCCCCACCGACTCACCACACGGTGTGGTCACCACCCCGTTTGGGGGTCCCCGCTCAGTTCCCCGGGCATCGCCCCAGGCCCACGGGGGAGCGGTGAACATCCACCGGTGGAAGCGGGGGGCGACGAAGACGACGACGACGACGACGACGACGACGACGACGACGACGACGACCGACGACCGACGACCGACGACGACCGATGACGACCGACGACGACCGACGACCGACGACGATGACGACGATTACGACCGACGACCGACGACGACGACGACGATGATGACGACCGACGACCGATGACGACGACGACGACAATAACGACCGACGACAACGACCGACGACTGACGAGCGACTGGCGACGAGCGACGGCGGCGGCGAAGTCGAGGAAGGCGAAGGCGAGGGCGGCGGCAGCGACGACAAGGCCCTGGCAGCGAGCTGTGGGGCAGGCCCACGACGAGGGGCAACGACAAGGGGGGGGGCAGCTCAGGGCGGGGGGGAAACATCGACCTGGAATCGGCGATGCATCGCCGATCGATCGGCGATAACAAAGCCGCCGATGGCGAACCCGCAGGGTCATGGGCGGGGTGAGCTATCGTTAGAAAGCCAAGTGTTCGCTAGGGACTGGTTCCCATCCAAAACAACGAAAACCCTTCCAAAACCCTTCCGAAACCGTCCGAAAACCCTCCCCTTCCCAGAGGGACTTCGGAGAGTTTCGGGAGGGCTTCGGCTGCCCTGAAGGGAAACCGGTCCCCAGCGAACCCTGGACTCTCTCAGGCTATCGGGCCCCCATCGGCGATGCTCGGGCGATCGCGGGTCGACGCATCCCCCCCTGAGTCTGTCCCCCCGATGAGGACGCTGAGGAGGACGGCACCCTGACGAGGACGGCACCCTCGCCGCGCCTGTCTTGGCCGACGCCCCCATCGGCGGGCGGGGTATGCTGAAGCAGGCGCCGCCGCCGCCGCCCGAAGGGCGCGAGCCGCCGCCTCGCGCGGGGCGCCCGGCGGCGGCGGCGTCGTCGTCGTCGACGTCGACGTCGGCGTCGTCGTCGTCGTCGTCGTCGACGTCGTCGGCGTCGTCGTCGTCGTCGTCGTCGTCGACGTCGTCGTCGTCGTCGTTCTCGTCGTCGTCCTCGTCCTCCGCGGTGGCAGGCCGAGAGCCGGAGACAGCGGCGGCCCTCCCTGGCGTGCTGCGCCCTCCCTGGGCCGCCCAGAAGCCAGGTTCGTCGTGGCCTGGGCTGGATCCGCCTCAGAGGGCAAGTCAACAGGGGCCCTGGGGGGAGGAGGAGGAGGAGGAGGAGGAGGAGGAGGAGGAGGAGGAGGAGGAGGAGGAGGAGGACGACGAGGAGGGCGAGGAGGAGGAGGAGGAGGAGGAGGGCGAGGAGGCGCAGAGCGAGGAGGAGGAGGAGACGGAGGAGGACGACGAGGAGGGCGAGGAGGACGAGGAGCAGGACGAGGACGACGAGGAGGAGGGCGAGGAGGAGGAGGAGTCAAGTCAAGGAGGGCCAGTCGAGACAGCGGCGGCCCTCCGTTGCGTTCTGCGCCCTCTCCGGGCCTCCTGCGGGCAGGCTCCTCGTCGCCCGGTGTCGGGGATCCTCGTCGCCTCTGTCAGGGGGGCGTAAGACCCGGGTACAGGGGACTCGGAAATCCCCGACGAGGTCGTCAAAAAAATGACGAGGCCGAGCCTGCATTTTGACGAGGCCTCCCGCTGCAGACATCCCACGAAACTCCTACTCGTCAAAATCCGAGTCGCGGTCGTCAAAAAACGATGGCGAACCCGAGTCCTGGCAAACCTGGGTCTTACGCTCCCCCGACAAGAGGGATCCAGGCAGGGGCCCAGGGGATCGAGTTCGAGGGGGCAACTCAGTTCTGTAGTCGACCCCCTGCTCGAAGGATGCTGCCCAGGCGAGCGCCCGTGCAGCGCGCTCGCCAAACACTGAATTTCACCCTCTGGGTTGGGTCGGGCATGTCCCCCCTACAGGCGGATGTGGGGCGAAATATAAGAAATACCCCAAAAGTATCCAACAATTGCCAAAAATAGTCAAAAAAAATCGTCCCCAGACAATTTTGTTTGACTATTTTGGAAGATCCCTCCTGTAGAGGGACAGGCCCGACTTAACCTTGGGGAGCCTCGCCCCTCTCGCAAGAGGCATGCTCATCCTCTTGCGGCCCGGCGAGCCTCCTGCCTGGGCCGCTCGAGCCTGGGGGTCTCCCGAGGCTGGGCCGGGCGGAGGGGGGGGGCGCCGTGGTCTCCGCTGGCCCTCCTCCGAGAGGAGGTGGGGCGCGGGGGAGGCGGGCCCTGATCGGGGAGACGTAAGACTCAGGTACGGGGGACTCGGGCTGGCCCGACGGGGGCCATCAGAAAAACGGCGAGACCCAATCTCAAGATTTGACGCGGGCTCGCGCTGCAGACACCCCACGAGAATGGGACCGTCAGAATCCAAGACACGCTCGTCAACAAAAGAAGTTGGCAAACCCGAGGTCGGGCTCACTCGAGTCTTACGTCTCCCCGACCTGAGGGAGAGGGCTCCTCGGCCCTGGAGCCCTCCCCCCGGACGAGCTCTCTTCTCCTTCCCGGGTCGTCTTCTGACGGCCCCAGGGGCCCGTGGAGGGCCCCGGGAGCCCGACAACGGCAAAAACCTCAGGACCCGTTTCCCTCAGGACCCGTTTTCCCCCCCGTAGAAAGGAGACAACCAAACAAAAAACAAAAAACGTTTGGCCATCCGCGCGGATTCCTTGGATCTGCGCCGGACCCGGCGCCGCTGGGGGGCCCAGCGCGCGGAACGCCAAAAAAGTGTGTTTGTGCAGTTCTTCCTTCTTCTGATGGGGGAAACGGGTCCTGAGGGAAACGAGTCCTGAGGTTTGGGCCGTTTTCGAGCTCTCGGGGCCCTCCACGGGCCCCGAGGACCGTCAGAAGACGACCCAGGACAAAGAGCTCGTCCTGGGGGAGGGCCAAAAGTTTCTGTTTATGCCGTGTTTCCTTCTTCGGTCCATGGCGATCGACTGGCCCTTCTTGGACAGGAGGGCCCTCGGGAGAGAGAAAATAGTGACACGAAACAAGGCAGAAACATAAAAACTCGGAGGTCCGCGCGGATTTCTCGGATCCGCGCTGGACCCCCCTGGCGGCGCCTCCGGCGCCGCCCCGGGCGCGCTCCGCGCGCCAGGGAGAGGGGTCGGGCGCGGATCCAAGAAACCCGCGCGGACCGCCGAGATGTTATGCTTGTGTCGTTTTCGGACCCCCAGAGAAGCGTGCCGGGGTCGCCCTTGGGTCGCCCGGCGCCGCGCGATGCGCGCCCCGCGTTTTGCGCGGCGCGCGGCCTCGTCTCCTGGCAAAAAGGCCGCGGTGCGCGGAGCGCGGCCATCTTCGCGCCCCTGCCGGCCAGGCCCGCAGCACAGGGATGCGTGACAAGGACGCGAGGGCCTCGGAAGGCCATTTCGAGGCTCTTCGAGCGGGGCGCGGCCAGCGAAAGT